ATTATCCATAAATTAAACGGATTCTTTCATTTTTCTGGACTGAGTTCTATCGTGCATTGAATGATTAAATGTAACGTGAGACGTTAATTTTCTTTGACCCATCACAATGAATGCGGTCATTTATGTAGTGAACTAGGCCTGAGGTCAAAACCTTGACCTTGGGCACCTTATGGGACAGAAACTGTCATTTCATTGATTTGAATCCAGAAATATAGGTTGACCCATCCTGAGACTTTCTTTCATTGATTACAATTGAAAGAACACTCTCTTTTTCTATTATCATTACTATTTTACAAATGTTTGATAATCAAATTGTGTTAGTTCAAACAATGTTTAAATGTTGAAGTGAACTACTCATTTTTAAATCAACTGTGAAACAGTAATAACGATTTTTAATCCTCATTCAAAGTAAGAAATCAGGTTAATGATGAATTGTCTGATTTTCTGTCTTCAATGAGCAAGTGTGTAAGTTGGTCAAAGTTCAAGTTTCGGTCAACTGCAAGTTTACTGAAAAAGAAATGTCATGTTTAACTTTTACAGCAAGATACCAGAGAATTGACTCCACGGAGTCTGAGTTCTTCATAATATCTTCTGTCTGTTCTTAAACAATCTTAATCTTTTTCCTTGACTTTTCATAACACCTTACATCACAAAACACACCTCTGTTTTGGTCCATCGACCAATCAGAAACTCCCAAATGAACCAGAAACAAAGCTCTTTAAATGTTGGTACTTCCTAGTTCAACCCAGTCGGAGTCGGGTGGAGAGTTTGCAGCTCCAGTCGTTTGGGAGAACAGAAGTCCAGCCATGATTCAAAGCTCTTCCGAGTCTTTTGGGATTATGACATCTTCCACCTCTGAGTGGAACTTCTGAAGGACTCCACTCATGTGAGTCCACCGTGAGCTGAACTGTTGTTGATGAAGTACCGCCACCACTCCGGACGGTTCTCTGCCATCCTACGGAGACGCTGGACCGGTAGCGTAACTGGACCTCCACTTCCACTGATTCATCGTCAGAGAGGTAATGAGTCGAGTTCACTACCTAGCGTACCGAGGAAAGCTGGGTCGAATGGAGGGTGCCGTTCTGTTCAACACTTTTCAATCACACACACACACCATCTCCCTCCCTCTAAACTTCAATCTTTAAACTCTTCTATCTGCTAAGAAATCATTCCAGATATTTTTAGAAATGTCTGAAGCAAAGTGTTTCAACCACCGCCGTGTGGTTAATGTCTGTTGCACTGCTGGAAGTGAGAAAACAATCGCCGTATTGTTTACTTCCTTGTAAAACCTGCTAAATAAGATGTTGTTATTTTCAATTTTTGCCAATTAATGTAAATGTGTGATGTGTTAAACTTGATTCTGTTAATAAATGACCCACTGTCGTTGGTGAGTCAAAGATAATTAACGTCTCACGTCCACATTTTATTAAATTCAGATGCACGTCATTATACAGTCCAGAAAAATGAAAGAATCCGTTTAGTCTATGAATATATACAGCATATGTTCATTCTATATTTATTAACAGAATCAAAGTTTAACATCAAACATTTACATTAATTTGGCAAATAGATTTCAACAACAGCTTAATTAATTAGCTTTACAATCAGAAACCATACGGCCATGGTATTCCAGCTTCAAGCTTTACAACAGACATTTCTGAAAATATCTGGATTAATTACTGGCAGATAGAAGAGTTTTAAAGATGGGAAAATGAAGTTTAAATGGAGAGAGATGGGTGAAGATGTATGTGTCTGTATAAGATGTAGGTCTGTAGACCAGAACGACAACACGCTCCTTTGGAAATCAGCTTAACCCACGGTACACTTTGGTTGAGATCAACTCTTTACCTTTGCAGATGATAGTTTTTGGCGTCGGTGTAGAGTTTCCTATCAACTCTTTCAGCGTCTCCGTAAGAACAACTAAAACCTCAGGAGTCGTGAGATTATCCCAGAACAGACTTCTTCATAGTTCCTCTGAACTTCTCTCGTTCAGGGACTTCTCGTTTGAGGTCCTCCCTGGAACGTTGTTCAGCTTAGTTGCCGTTGTTCTCCAGCATTCTGCATTCCAGCATTCTGAACTCTGCTGCTCTCGGAACTAACTCTCAGCCCTCTGCATTCTCTGTGGAACTAGGAAGTGTTGAACCTTTTAAAGAGGTCACTTCCGGTTCCTCTGAGAACTTCCTGATTGGTCGAAACGAACCAACAAGGTGCGGTCTTAGTGATGTAAGAGGTTATTGAAAGTCAAGGAAAAAGATTAGATTGTTTAAGAACAGACAGAAGATGTTTTGAAGAAACCGAGACTTTTGGGTGCCAGTTCTACTTCTATCTGTCTGAAAAAGTTAAACATGACATTTCTTTCCAGTAAACATGTAGTTGACCAAAACTTGACTTTTGACCGACTTACACTTGCTCATTTCAGACAGAAAATCAAAATGCATAATTACTCTTGTAACAAACATTAACTTGATTTCTACTTTGAATGAGGATTAAAAATCATTAATACTGTTTCACAGTTGATTTAAAATAAGTAGTTCACTTCAACATTTAAAAATGGTTTGAACTAAACACACTTTTGATTATCAAGACATTTGTAAAATAGTAATGATAATAAAAAAGAGAGTGTTCTTTCAATTGATCAGTGCAGGACACACTTAGAAAGTCTCTGGATGAACTTAATTTTGTGTTTCTGGACTCAAATCAATGAGATAACAGTTCTTGTCCCAGGAAGGCCCTCAGGGCCAGATTTGACCTGAGGCTTAGTTCACTACACCTGTTTGGACAGACAAAAACAGTGGTTAACTGGACACATGTAGGAGTTGGAGGTGAAAAAAAATCCTATCAGACTTTTTTTTCTTGCCTGAGAAAAAAACCCTCTAATATTAAAAAAACCCTCGCACAAACAAGCACATATTTACGTGGACATTCTGCAATCGGAGACGAGAGTGGTCAACAACGCTTATAGATGCTCTCAAGGTCACTGTAATCAGTCAATGTCCTCCAGTGAGATCCATAAACATTCTCGAGGTATGTCGAGGAATTGTCAAGAATAACCTCTATGAGAATCCAAGAGTCCTGAAATGATGACAAAAAGTTTATTCAGCTGGTTCATCTGGTTATCAGTTGGAAATTCCTCAGGGAAGGGGGTAGTGAGTGTCAGATCATGTTTTCTCTAGGCGAAGTCAGATAAGATGGCCTTCAAGACCAGCCAAGGGAACCAAAATTTAGATAAACACACAGTTGTTTTGGGGACAGGCAGAACTTAATGGCATCTACCTTGAGTCTGTGTTGGTCAACTCGGTTCCGAAATGTCCAAAATAACATGGCCACACCGATGGAACATGACTGAGTAAAATCCCAAAGATCTGATCCATTCAGCCCAAAGCATTTGAGCCTGGGTACACGAAACACGAACCAAGCCATCAAAAAGGCAAGCAGCATGATCGGGTCCAAATTTGCTGCAGACAACTTCCTTGATTGTAGATAAACCAGCCAGCCGAATCCAAAATAGCAGGAACCAGTTATTGAAAATCCAATTAAATATGCATCCTTAAAATCCACAAATGGCAGCAGAGATAGACACATCATCAAGTCTTCCAAGTCGATGAGATATCCAGCTGCGTGCGTGCCAACAGGGTAAATCGGCTCGCCTAAAGCCTGTCTTCTCTTCGAAGAAATGTTGTAAATTGAGTTGAGGGACCAACTGGTCAAAACAGTCCATAATTATGGTTCGGAAGAAATGCAAGAGAGTCTCACAGCAATTTCACAGACAGACAGAGCAGCAAAGCAAAGCGGAGAGGGAGGGAAGCATCCGAGCTCGTTTAGAGCAAGTGGTGAAGTGAGCTTTAAAGCTAAGTGCAGTATTGTGTATATAGTTCTATTTATTTTCTGAGTTATTCTATGTATGTTCAGGTTTTTGTGGTGTTTACTTTAAATTTTTCCAAATACATGGTACTGAAACCAATCATTCTGTGTCATTTTATTAATTATTGACATCAGCTCAAGTAGTCAGTCCTAGTCTTCTGAGTTTACATAACATCTAGCTTTAGTATCTTAAACAGTGCTACAAAAGTGTTGACTTCTGGAGGAGGAAGTCCAGTCTGCTGCTCATCAGTATCAAAAGGGAGTGCATGAAGAGCATTTCCAGCTTCAATTTATTTGGTGTCCACACAGTGGAAGACCTTAAGTGGACCTCTAACACCACAGCAGTTGTGAAGAAGACCCAGCAATATTACAAGATGTAGAGGGGCAAATAAAACAACTTACTGCCTTTAAATCCATTGCCCTGGGTATTGTTCCGGGACCATTGATAATCTTCATTCATCCACTGGTTCACCAGGTTTTCTTTTATGTCCTTTTTCCTGCAGAAACATAATTTTGTAAGTATCCTGATGCATGCTCAATAATCCAGGTAGAAAAATCTAAAAAAGTTAAGTCTGGTCCACTGGATATTCAAAAAATCAGAACAAAGCAAAAAAAAAAAAAAGTAGAAACGTTTCGTCTTTCATCCGAAAAACTTCTTCAGTCTGAGGTGCTGTATTCAGCTCAGTCTCTTAAATAGCACCTTCTCAGAGTTGATCAACCAGTTTACGGCTGACAGCCAAAACCAGCTACTCACATGATCAAAAAGGATCATCAGCCTAACGATGGATCATTAGCACACTGATGACTGTTTACTATTTACAGGGGGCTGAGTGATACTAGCAATATTAGCATTGTAAAAGGGGGACAGTTGAACATGGAGGCTCCACCCCTGTTTAATGATGGACAATTTATTTTCCCAAAGATGGCCTACTTTAATCCTCTCTCAAACCATTATTCTTCTCTATCCAGGATCTGAACATCATCAGGCCAGGACTCTGCGGTCTACACTCATCTCCAGGCCAACAGTCACTCGTTCAAGGATGAAGATGTTCACCTCCTGGACAGAGAGGAACAATGGTTTGAGAGAGGAGTAAAGGAGGCCATCTTTGTGAAAAGAAATCGTCCATCATTAAACAGAGATGGAGGCCTCCGTGTTCAACTGTCCCCCTCTTACAATGCTGTTATTGCTAGTATCACTCAGCCCTCTGTGAATAGTAAACAGCCATCAGTGTGCTAATGATCCATCATTAGGTTGATGGTCCTTCTTGATCATGTGAGCAGCTGGTTTTGGTTGTCAGCAGCAAACTGGTTGATCCACTCTGAGAAGGTGCTATTTATAAGACTAAGCTGAATACAGCACCTCAGACTGAGGAAGTCTTTTGGATGAAAGACGAAGTGTTTGTACATTTTTTTTGTTTTTTTTTTATGTCCAAAGGACCAGACTTAACTTTTTTTAGATCATTTTGTAAGATTTAACGTAACACGAAAAAAAAAAAAAAAAACATTAAAATAATTGTTATTTATGTCCTGACAGCTGTTTAGGATCACATTAGCAACTGAAGGAAAAGACTGGGCAGATGTGACTGAGTGGTTAGAGCAGTTATCCCCCAATTGGAGACTTGGGAGTTCCATTCCAGCAGCAGTCACATGCTGAAGTGTCCCTTTGCAAGACACTGAGCCCTTCATTGCATCTGATGTGTGTCCCATCTGTGTATGAACGTAATCTAAAGCAGTGCAGTGGTTCCCAACCTTTTTTTTCCTGAAAGACCTGCCTTCTTACTTCCTAGACAATCCAAGCCCCCAAAAGCCCATCTCCCAAAGACTCATTCAAATTAATCTCTTTATCAAAGTGATATTAGTTATTTGTAAAATGTAAAAACTGGTAGTTGTACAACAGAAATGAGAACTACAAGAACACTGTTTTGAGATTTACTCATATAGATCTTCTTTAAAAACTAACAGAGTAATCTTAAAAACAGCCTTAAAAAATAAAAATTCTAGTTTTGTCAAGATATTAACTCTGGGCATGCACACATAGCTCTCTAACA